ACCAACATATCCATAGCAAATAAATATTTGAAGTTGTGATCATAACAGATGTTAGGAATGAACCAGTTTTAGTAATAGTAGCTATCACAGTTGACAACACTAAAGTTGATACAGACTTAGAACCATGGGATTTGCTGAATAATCAAAAACACTTAGAAGTTTACAACTATTCCCTTGAGTGTTGTGCTGCACACGAATATATATTTCCAGCACAAAATCATGTAAACATCCAGACTAAAACACTACATACACACCATTGACAGGAAGTATTCACTAAAGATGTTACATTTCTGCACTCCGCCCCATGAATGTCCGTTCCATTTTCACACTGTTTAAGCTATCTATTTTAACTTGCGACTGACCGGTCTGCACAGCTAAGCCAGTAGTTCTATTGGTTCAAGAAACTGATGCATGGGATTACTGGTGTTTAACTCTGAACAGTGGATCACTCTGATTGTGGGTTGATAAAGAAGGTAGTCAACTGTCTAAATTAGCGCGAATTGCATGCCGCTTTCGGCGTGGACATCTTGAATGCATGTTGAGGCTACTGCATACCCTATGGACACGCCTGGCCTTAAGCACACGATATTGCTTACAGAATTGCAGAAAATTATAGAAATTATCTATAAGCTCTTGGAAGTATTGAATCGCTTGGTTTGATCCAGGTACACGAAGATAAGAGGACAGTTACCCAAAAGACCTCTGATAAGAATTCTCAGAATGCATTTTGTAGTTTGAGTTCTGTCTTATAAAAGCAGAGGTCCTGAAAGCCATAAAGTTGCTGAGAGCCGGGAAAGCAGCAAGACTGGATGGAATTCCAACACAAACACTGAAAACAGACGCGGAGACAGCAGAGAACATGCTCACACCATTATTGCAGAAGGTTTGGAAGGAAGGGAGGAAAAGCACCTGCCAAATGGAAGAAGGGCTAGCTTGTCAAACTCCCAAAGAAGGGAGACCTAAGTCTTTGCAAAGACTGTCGAGGAATCATGCTCCTGTCCACAACAAACGAAATATTAGGCCATATGATCCTGGAGGGACTAAAACATGTTCTAGATTCAAAATTACCACCGGTACAGGATAGCTGGCCGACTTCAGGAAAAACAAATAATGTACGCATCAAATCTCAACGCTTCACTACACATCGTCATAGAACACAGCATAGAATGCCAGTCAACTGGATCTTCACCTCAACTTCATCGACTTCGAAAAGGCCTCGATAGCATCGACCGAGAAGTAATTTGCCTGGCAGCTGCCGCTTCAACACTACGGTTTCAGTGCCACAAATCTTTATCAACCTCATTCAACAGCTTTGTCCTATGCTATATGATGTTACATGCCAGCTAAGTGATTCACAACAGAAAGCTCAGTGATGTCTTTGAAGCGAAGTGAAGACAGGAGTAAGACGAGGTTGCTGTCTACTCTCACGGATGATCCTGCTGATTTTGGTTGGCTGGAGTGGAGTGTACTGGGTGGTGGGAGAAACTGTGAGAAGTGAGGAGATGAGCACAGACTGGCCGGACCGATGAGGGAACCGTAGAAGAATTGGATTTCACCGATGATGATTTATTTCGAATGTTTTGTTACAAAAACTGGAAGGTCTCGAAGCGAAAACCAGGAAGTTAGCAGAAGAGTCGAGGTGAGGCAGCGAAGACGGGACTGACTTCAAGTGGACGTGGAGAAGACAGAGGTGATGAAGATGCGCAACCAGCAGAAACGATGAAACAACAACAAGCACTAATGACCACCAGCGGAAAAAATCAAAAACAGAGTGAAAATGCGACATACTACTGAATCCCTATGTTCCCGTAGGAACCCAAAGGACGTACAAATAAAATACTGTTTTTTAAGCATGGATGCATACATATAAGTAGCTGATGGGATTTAATGCAAGTTTACATTGTTAAAAGTTACACGTTCCGTACTAGCACAACAAGGAGAAGCTAGGAAGATGGAAGCTGAAGCGTTTGCTAATCATTGGTAAGTGGAAAATAAACTCAGATCCGTTTCTATGATTACCAACCGACTAGTTTTGTGTAAGAATCATTGACAAGTGTGTAGTTCGCTAATGGAAACAGTATATCTGTCATCAGTCAATCTGGTCTGCTAAATGTAAGATACTAGATTTCGAATCATTAATTCAGTAATAATTTGCATCCCATTTGACGGAAGGTCTTTGGCTCAATATTTATACTGAGTTAAACTTTCTAAACGTTTTAGAGATTAAACATTCTATTAAGAATGCCTTAGTCCATACATGAACGTGACCTTAAAAATACAGCATGCTTTTATATAAATGATACTGGAGAGTAATGTTGTTTACCATCTTAGGAACCGTGTATATAATGCATCTTTGCTAGGTGTAATTTGGGACGAAAATAATTTCTGTATCAAAGCTTTCAACTTTAGCAAAAGACAACATTGTTCAAATCTAAGTTTGAGGATGAACTACTGGGAAATTTTGCACACATTTCCTGATTAGTAAAACAGATTTGTAACTTTGGACGAGGATAATGGTAGTTTGGTGTCCTCTGAAATTTCATATTTTGACGTGGATGTTTCGTCACCAGGCTTGACAACACCTTCAGTAATAACTTCATAACGAAGGGAAGCGTGTTCAATTTTACACGAATGCTTACAAAGTGTTTACATAGACTTTGTCCAACTGTTAATCGGAAAAGAGAATTTTGCCACACCTTGACGTATTTAACCTTGGATCTCTTTTCTTCTCGCTAGTAGAGAAATTTAGCTAAAGTGAAATTAAGTTGTTTGTTACCGTCACACTGTGCATCATCTATAATTTGTTCAGCTAATTTGCTGTTGGTTAATGGATGGCTACTTTTCTTCCTAACCGTTAAGGCTCAGCCAACTCCAAACCACCACCATACATATCCCACTAATTTAGTGAGTCGGTTAAAGTAATAATAGTGTAATAAGGCATAGAAGTATCTGAACGTAATCAACAAGGCGTGCCAGGAATTTTTAGTTACAAACACAAATTGGTCACCAATGGATAATTGATGCATCTGTCTATTCCTCAATGCCTTGTACTGACCGAAGTATGTCGATGACATTTTCAAATATCGTAACTTATATGTGATATGTACTATGGTGCAGTATATTTTGATGTCAGACGTCAACAGGAATAGCTTATTGGTTAGATGTCTGACTGCAGCACCGAGTGAAACAGGCTCGAACAACAAAAGGTACACCAGTTTCTTCATAGTGGTGGGTGGGTAAGCCTGCTAAGTGTTAGCAACAAACAAAAAGCATACGTTGACCACAGCTTCCAGCTGTTTGACTTGCAACACATAGCACCAACTTTTAGTCACAAATTGTGTTCATTATATTTGTTTTTATATCACAACGTATTTGATTGGACCGAATTGATCGGTCTCCATTGTCATATGGGCTCCTGCGTGGATGTCTCGATATTACCTGTGCTCTAATGATAGTGGCTAGCAGTGGAATCTAGGGTGCGCATTTCGTCCGATCTGGGACTCGTCAGCTGGGCACCTATCCAGTATCCATCATTACTACAAATTGTATTCATTGGAGAGTTCAAATAAAGTAATATGGGTAGCGGTAGACTATTTTGGCATTGAAAATAAAGAGGCAAGCAAATAGATTTACCAGTAGATTACGTTATGATAAGTTATAGACAAATCATATCATTTAACACTCCGTTTAGCCGGCTGATAAAAAGTCAACAAAAGTTTGCATAAACAGATATATGAAATCCCTCTAGTCAAAAGACACTCATAAAATAAAAGGATGACTGGAAAAGTAGATACCGAGACAAAGTAAGAGAGAGGACTACACTTTCTTAGTACGGAATTCCATTTTCAAACGTTTTGTTGTCATTATCTCAGAAGAAATGAGATTTTTACTCACTGTACCTGTTGATTATTCTAAAGTATCTCAAGCTTAAGGTGATGATGATGCATGCGAAGACTCCTTAGCAAAAAATATCCCGCAGACCATCTCATTTCTCTCTACGGAACAACCAACTCATTGGTGGAATCAAATTTCAACATAAACTTCCTTTCTCATATCACCTCTGACTCTGTGTACGACTTCATGTGTATATAAGGAAAAACATACAGTGGAAGAACAGATGAAAGGTCATATCCTAGATCATTTGAACAAGTGGTGAAGGGTATCGGTTTCAAGAGAATAAATGCTTTAGGCAGGGCACATCACTTGAAGCTTTTTTCAGATATGAAGTAGGTACTTTGAAATTATTCAAAGTGACCAGCAGAAGGAAACAGCAGTTTGTACATCACTATTATATCAAGCATTTTTAGTAAAGACTACGTTTGTCATATAAAAGAAAGGTGTTTTGGAGCCTTTCTTCCAACTGTTTGTTTATACAATCAGTAAATATCATGTACACAACCTATCAGATAGATAGTAACAATATGTGACAAGTATAATAAGTTTGTTAAATCACGAGAATATTGTCATTTCTCATTCTGCATAGATCTAATGACTCTCTTTAGTGAAGCTTAAGATGTTATCAACGTGATTTCAAAGTATGGATTTTTTAACTGAATGATGTTCAATGCTCAACCGATCCAGTTCATAGACAAATATTGTATTATTGATTTGAATTGTTTAGCTGTTTTGGTATTTACTCACTTAGCATGAGTATTGAATAGCTTTCATTTTATTTATTCACATTTATTTGTTTACTAAACAGGTAAACAACCATTTATGAATGACTGAAAAAATCGACCAATCAGAAAAAAGGAGAATTATTGACCAGTCGTAGAGATGGCGGTTCTATTATTTTTAAAAATACAATTTATGGAGAATTTTACAGGGAATACATCAGTCGAATGACTATATTTGTTATCGAATGTACCAATGGATTAAATTATGATATTATTTTCAAAAACAGATATGTAATTGGGCTGTTATTGTTTGATCTCCTCTCCAATCCATGACTACTTAAACTACTTATATTAGTAAAATATCAAAAATACATACGAAGTATCATGTTAGTTTATTCGGAATTATTAACAGATTATTCATTGAAGAGCAACCAAGCTAAATGTGATCGACTGAGTAATAAAGAAAAGCGTCTACCTCGATTTGCACTATCAGAAAAGTAAGTAAAGTTTCAGTGTGTTTACCATTGACCAAAACAGAATAGCTATATGTTATATGATTGCACATAATCAAAAGAAACCAGAAGTCTTTTTGCAGGCATCCCCAAAGCATGCCTGGAAACTGAAGGAGACTGTTTATTCTTAAGAGATGCGAACTAGTGTACACTCGCGCAAATATAAGACTAAGGTAAATAAAACGTCTTGACCACAAACTCCATCCACCTAGCTAGTTGTCTGGCTACACTTTAGATTTATTCAACAGAATCCAATCACCAGTTAAAGTAAGATAGGAAGACTTCAGTCAATATCTGCTGATTAACCACTATACAACAGTCATCTCTTTTTCCATTGTTGATATATCTTATGCCCAATGAATTGGTTATTTGTTTCCTACAATACCACACCATTCGATATCATCGTTCTAAATAGACAGATGGTGCCAATTATAAACTTCTGATGATTAATTACCAGGGAAAGCAATTGTGAATATTCATCTTCTAATAAGTCTAAGCATAGTCAAACCAAGAATTCCATAGTAGCTGTGTCATTCTTTACTATTGAATCCCTTCAAACTGGTAATCAACTGGTATTTTGTTTAAATATAACAATGTGAATCGATAAACTAGGGCGCAGGTTTCCAATTATTGCAGTCAATTAAACTGTATGAACATCAATGAGCATCAATGCACTTTTGTCTGTAAAGAATTGACCTAAAGTATTGTGATATTTTGAAGTTTGAAGTATCATTTAGAAATGCTACTTAAAGTTCAAACCGTTTACTGAATTCAAAAACAAGCAATTGGATTAAGGATGTTAATTGACTTTAAGCCTTTGCAGTTTTCATGACAAGTCTATATCAACTGAATCAATGTGTTCCAAAATATTGAGTTTTGTTCTTTCTTCTCTAATCATGTCATTTCTATAAATCTACAAACAATTATTATTTTTCAGTCATAGTTATTACATTCAAGATTGGGAACACTACTACTTAAAATCTTTAAGTAATTACTATCAATAGCTGACGTCATTTAATTTGAATAACACTTTGACTGAAAAGCAAACATGTAGACACCACAAGCAATTACTTATTCAATTCACCTAAGAGTTGATGATGATAATAATGATAGTAGCATATGTCACTGAGTCCTCAGAAGTGATCTGCCTAACACTACTACTCCTGATATTATTTTCACTGGAGATATTCTAATCAATATAGTTGTAGTTGAATACCTTTAATTCTTTTCAGGCTTAGACTACTTTTAAGACAGATATATTTATGTTATAAATTTAAGGTCAGTGCATTTAGTTACATAGTATGTAAACATTCTATATCCTGATTAGTTGCTCACTGAAGAAATTACAGTATAGACACGCAGGATTCTATTAGTGCCGGGTGGTGACTAACACACCTTCGATATAAGGAAAAAACGTTTCTAACTTGACGTTGGTTTAACACTTATCGCAGCAGAATATTTTATTCTGCCTCATGTTGATAAATAGATAACTAGTTTTGACTGGTGAGATGCCGTATCTTGCAGTAAATGATAAACAGAAAATCGAGTTATGCAGTTCGAATCCTCAACTACAATAGAAACAGAATGATCAATTTACTAACTGTACGGTCCACGTTGACATTCCTAACAGCTGACTAGTCTTTCAACTGCTCGACTATGGTATCAACAGAGTTTTTGTTGGAAACCATCAAGACAAAATCACAAGGTGTTATATTTGACTCAAAAGAGGAATGAACTATCGGAATATACTACTTGTGTTGTTCAGTAGTATATTTTGATTACTGCTGTTATTATGCACTCAACTCATTATGAGGTCATTCACTTAAACTTTCACTAGTTCGTTATCTAGTTATAAATTCCTTATTGATTGTCTTCAATGTCTTAGTTGCTTATCAGCTCATCAGTATCTCGAAGTTGATAAAATTTTCTTACTTTAATAAAAACCACCAAATGAGCGTATTACATAATAAGAGACGTACATTTTCTGAATTATGCAATGTATTTGCGCAAAATATTTATATTAGATTACTCATACCGTTACTTTTCATATGTATTTATGTGAAGCGCCATAAAGAGATAAGTAGTGAAAGTATGAAAACAGATCAAGTATAAAGGTTAAATTCAAGGCTAAAATAACAATGGAAACCCATGGAGTAAGAATAATGGTGTATTGATCTTGATTTCAGAGTAAAACTCAACAATGAAAGTTTCACGTGACAAAAAATTGACTCTGAGCACAAACCCGGCTTCAGCGTTTACGCAGTTAAGGCCATATCAAATTTAAGGACCTATGTCAAGTATTTCCTGTGAATAGATCTAAAGAATGCAAAAACAATAACACCATGACCTGTATTAACCATATGTTTAACAACAAAAGAGCCTGGATGCCCCCTGCCAACGTTTATCGGTTCCGATAATCCGGCTTGTCTTTGAAGCCATTCTAAAACATGCTCCCAGGCGCTTATCTGCATCCATTTACGAGTCCATCCTACACATGTGTCACTATGCACATATTTCAGCTGATAGTTGCAGTGCGACGTGACATCATGGTTCACAGGTTTCAAGAGTTTAGGAGATTATGAAGAATTGATGTTTTCTATTTATCTGACCTTAGTTATGTAATAAGTCCTTCTAATATCAGTACAATATGTCTGCATACGGACTGCACCGTCACATTTACCTTTGTACGGAAAACTGTGAAGATGCCTTTCTTCATCGCGAAGTGAAGAGCAGGGTTCGGTGCTCTAATTACTTTTAAACAAAATTGGAGAGGATTTACTGATCTCAGAGTTCCATTCATCATGAAATACCATCAGGTGTAGAATCACTAAGAAATTTGGAGAACTGGACAGCTGTTTCAGACAAGTTTGCGACTTCTCAAAAGCAATGATAACCATGATACTAAAAGGGATCTAGCCGAGAACCATTAGGTGTCGCGGGAACATGTTACCATTCAACCAATGGATTAGAATGCATTAGTTCACATTTTCAATGTTTCCTGTACTGAAGTCAGTATGTAATGACCACTATCTTCAAATCAGCTATGTCCAACTACTCACACTAGTCAGTAGTGTATGTCAACGTACTCTGTTTATGAAGTTCCGCTCTCTGTCTTCATAAATTCATCCCATAGTAATATATTGCCTGTAGGCAACCACCCGGTTAAATTCAGGAAGTTCAATTCCACGGTTTATTTTAGAACCATATTATTTATGTTTCATAATTTCTTGGAAATACTCAAGAGTTAAATTTTCCTTAGAGTAAAACAAAGCGAAGAAACGGAAAATGGGTTACATTCTAAATTTATCTTCAGACAAAAGGTCACAACTGTTAATTTGAGAAAAGAGAATAAACAGGTGCATGAATAAATGTAGATCAGATACCAGGTTATCTATGTACTGGATTATGAGTCATATGATGCGAAGATAATTACTATCAGTCGACTACTAGAACTAAATTTAGTTTGGCAAAACTCGTCGAAGACTGACATCAGTTGGAGGAACAAAGGAAACCTGGGAGCACTGGACAGCTGTTTCGTCCTAGTATGGGACTCCTCAGCAGTGCGCACCCACGACCCCACCAGCAGGGATCGAACCCGCGACCTTCAGGTTCCGCGGCCAGCGCGTTACCATTGAGCCACTGGGCCTCCAACTGATGTCAATCTTGGATGAATAACAACTTGTAATATTTCCAAATCTCCACAACTCCCTCAAAATTTATTTGGCAAAACTGTTTACTTGGTATTGTTGCGATAAGTGAACAGCAACTAGGAAGATGGTAACGTGACCTGGGTGACTTGTATTTTTGGCTTTCGCTATGCGATTGAATTCCAGCAGCTTTTGTCTTTACAAAGAAACCTGTAAGTTTGAATTTAATAGGGCAGTTCTCAAGAAAGAATTAAAGATTTGATTCGAAATCATTCGGACGCTGTAGTAGGCAACGAGTCATACCTATTGTGTAAGGGAGCCAGTGATGCTACCTGACTGCCCAAACTTCCTCAAGTGGAGTGCCATCGGAACCTGCGATCTATTGGTCGAAAGTTATTTTCCAAATCAATGAGCCATAAATATAAGCATTAAAAAACCTTTTGAACAACCCACGTTTTAATAGTCAGCCAAGGAAGTGTTTCCTAGCACTGCTTATATGTCTAGTTATTAAATTTCCTGTAAGACTTCTCACTAATGCACTCTTATAGCTTCTCACGTCATATGTGAAAGTTTCAAATAGGGGCGTTAAAATCTTGTTTTATTATTCTTAAACATAAAAGGATGACACAGTTTATCTTAATCCCTCCCCCAGAAAACTGGTAAATTCATTTTTCAGCTGCAATCAGCTGGGTACATATTTATTTATCATATGTTGATATCAATCACTGTATCATCTTAATCGGCGAGTATAAATTGCCTTTTCTTACTTATGTGGCGTTCATGTACCTATCATTTTCAGCAGATGAAAAGCAAACTAACGGTGTGAATATGAAGCATATTCACCATTCAGTTCATTTACAATGGATAACGGCATTATTCTCTATCATTTCACAGTCGATTGATTGCACTATACCACCATGAGATGATTAAAGTTTAAATAATTAATCGACAATGATAATAATAATGGTAATAGTAATTAATAACAATAATATTAATGGCGTCATTCCCAACTATATGCATGATACAGTAGGGAGTTATCAGCATGCGATATTCCAACAAATTCACTCCATGCACAATATTTTTAAACGGGATAATTACTGTACATGAATGATTTTATTTATAATAACAGTATTAAAGGCAATAATATGAAACAAACAGCTGGTGTTAGATTAGTGTCTGATCTGCAATTGGGAATGAACAAAATTCAACTAAAAATGAGAGGAAATGGAGAAAAATTGGGTTGAACACAAGGCAAAACTCGAGGTATTTAAATAGTCTCTCGAGTTATGTTCTGTCTGTTTTCGGTCCCACGTTTCGCCCAAAGTTTTTCAGTTTGAT